CCTTCAGATAAGTGTAATGCCACCCGTGTTTCCAGTGTGATCTTCTGAGAAGCTAGTGTACGTACGTTCCTCTGTTCTGGCTTCTCTGTCCCTTCCAGGGTCCTGAGGACAGGTCGGTATTGCAGGCAGGCCTCTTGATATTCAGAGAGGAGAGGACTGCACAGTCTTGGGATCTGGCCAATACTGGAAAATACTTATGGGTTCAAAATGAATTTTGAAATGTTTAGATTTTTATAGGCACAGTTGCTGTGAAGACAAAATTTCTGTGCTAGAATTTTATATTTTACAAAGCTGAGTTTTTTCGACAGTGTTTCTCAGTGGTTCCGTCACTGATTTTCTTAATTCACCTAATTCTTGGTATTCAGTGATTGTGATGGCTGCCGTGGCCGGTCGTCTGCAGGCCCATCTGCCCGTCCAGTTCTCAGACGTCAGTGTGCCGGGACAGGGGGATGCTGGTACCCTCTAAGACACGGCAGGCATGGGGACTCAATTCCTTCCTTCTCGCACAGTTCGTTTTCTTGTTGCTTTGTAGGTAGTCATCTTTTAGGCTTTTCCCTCTAGAATGTGAACTTCAGGGATATAAGGGCCAGGTTTAGAGTATTTTCTCAGGGCCTTGGATCCTGGTGCTCACCTCACTGGGCTTGTTTTCCAGCACACCACCCTCTGCCCCTGGCCACGTCTGGCGTGTTCAGGGGGCAGGCAGGGCCTGTTCCTGTGCTGAGTGCCTGAGATCACTGGCCTTTTCACGTCCACCGGGTTTTTAGGATTATTCCAGCTGTTGTCTAGGACAGAAGCCCATCAGCAGAATTCTTGTGCACATTTTGTGAACTAATTCCCTTCAGTGTGCAGAGGGTGGTGGAGACCCAGAGGCAGGCAAGATGGAGTTGATTTAAATCACTGTTACAATAGTCAACAACTCCCTGTCTTTCTATTCCAACTTTCCACCTGTTTCTCCATTACTTTTTTAATTTGCACCTGTTTATTTTTTTATTCGTTAGAGAAAAAAATGTCTGAAATTTTTGTGCAATTTTACTTTTAAAAGTTCCTTAAGAAACAACAATGACAACAACTGTTTTCTCAGAGTCTTTTAAATTCTAGTCCATCTGTTTTAAAAGCCATCTGGAGTTTTGTTAAAAAAAAAATGTAGACATATTTTGTATTTTGAATTAGCATACAAGGATATTGAACCACAGATGTTGAAAATATATATAATACATATTGTATATATTTACATGCACACATATATGTTTGATTTCTTCCGTATAGAAGCAATATTTTCTCATTCAAAACCTGGGGAATATACAAGAGTATAAAAAAACAAAGCCACACATCCACACATTGTAGATATTTTTCTCAAGCATTTTTAAGAATGAGGAGGTGAAATCCAGTCTTTAAAAATTGAAAGATTAGGGGCTGGGGCTGTGGCTTAGTGGTAGAGCACTTGCCTAGCATGGGTGAGGTCCTGGGTTCAATGCTCAGCACCACATTAAAAATAAATAAATAAAATAAAGATATTGTGTCAAATTACAACTAAAAAATTTTTTTAAAAATTGGAAGATTGTGTAATTTCAGCTCATATTTAGCACTTTGTATAAATCACTGTCGTAATCACTTGTAGCAATTCTCAAAAATAATTTTGCTAATTTAATGTAGCTTTGTGGCCTTGCAGATTCAATGGAATAGGGGCCTGAAAAGGTGAAAGGGCACTGCAGTTATTGTAATTCAGGTAGATAGGCTTGTTTTTTTTTTTTTTTTTAATGAGATGGGTTGAAGTTTCTTTGAATGACAAAACACCTAAAGGGTGACATTTTCTGATTTAGGAGAGAAAAAAAAATGTCTCCGGGTTTTTCTTGCATGTCCAGAAACACCATCCATAGATACGAGCGAGCTGACTGGACATGCGTGACTGCTGCAGAAGTTGCCATGCTCTGTGGTACCTTATTACGCACCAGGAGCTGCTGTGGGATTATGCCCTAGAGTAACCCAGAATTTGCCCCAGTTAGAATGCACTTGTTCATCACAGCACCATAGCTCTCACTGGGCGTTCCTGATGCAGCCTGGGCGGGGGACTCACTCCTGGCATTTCCACCAGAGGCCTGGAAGCCTCGTTCACTGGTGGCCCGTGCGAGGTCGGGTGTGCAGGTGTGAAAGAGGGCAGTGAGGAGCCAGTCCTGCCTTCTTGCCACTTGCTATCCTTGAGGGAATGCACTGGAAAATTAGACTCAGGTGAAGAGAAACTTTAGGCAGTCACATATGCCACAAAGCATGTGACATGGGGTGGCATTCTGTGCACTTGGTCAGCAGGAACCCCAGAGCTGAGAGCAATGAGGAGGACAGCGCTGTTACACTCTGGGGGAAGAGCAGCCGACGTGGCCCAGAGGAGGCCTGGCATGGCATGGGGACCTCAGTGAAACTGGGGTGCAGCTTTTAAGGGAGAGGACACCAGCTTCCTGGCCTGAAGATGGTGCCATTTGTCTAAGAGAAGGCACATGGGGGAGAGGGACTCTAGAGGGAGGACGAGCTGAGTGTGGGGTCCATAGGTGTCAGAGTTTGTGGGACAGCAGGTGGAGCTGTGCTGGGACCTTCCTCAGCAAGGGGTGTTGCAGTAGCCCAGAGGTGAGTCCTGGGCCACAGGCGTGGATTCAGCCTGGGCTTCTCTTCCCCAGTTTCTGTGGCTGTGAGAATGAGCAGAGGTCACCTGTGTAAATGGACAGAAGGTAGCTTCCCCTCTACAGTGGAACTTTGCTCGTCCCTCGAGGCCCCAGGGAGTGTTAGATCTCACTGGGTTTAGGTAGGTTTGCTTTGCTTTTCTTTACATTTATTTCTGTTTATCTTAGATTTTTTTCCTCCAAGGCCCCTTTACATTTTTCTTTCTTTGACATACAATAGTATCTTTTCTTCTACGTCATGGAAGCATAAAATGAAAATCCACAGTCTCTGCATGTGGATTCACCTGTGTCCTCAGTATGACTGTCCACAGGTGCACTTCACAGCACACCCTGTGCAAAATTTTCCCCTGGCTGAATCTCCCACTGATCACCCAGCTCAGCTCTGTGTGGGCTCTTGGTTCCGATGTCCGAGGAGTGTGACTTTCAGGGTGAAGAACTGAGCCTTCCTGTCCCCTGCGGTACCTGAGGATCTCCTTAGCATCTGGGTGCCCAGGTCGATGGGTCTTCCTCTGGCTGCCAGGCATCATTTCCATGCCATTGGCACAGAGTGCTTAGCTTGCTGATCTTCACAGTGGTGCACGTGATGAGCGAATGTGTATTTGCATTTCCTGAAAAGATAGCGGGGCCGCATGGCTGCTGCTTGGCTCCCCCAGGCTTGTGGTCATGGGGTGTTCTCGTAACTCGTGCAGTTCATTCAACAGTGTGAAGCCGTTGGTCCTCCTCCCAGCCCCAGCGATGCCACCGATCATGTGCAGAGCCCCATGCAGCTCTCTCCCCCTGGTAATGAGTGTTCAATCTCATGTGGGGCCCTCAGTGGGAAAACGGTTAACAAAATAAAGTCTGCAGGCCCTCCGGGCTGGCCGGAGGAGGTGCTGGGCTCTGCAGCAAGTACAGTCCTGTGTTATGTTGTAACAGTTTTTATCTGATTTTGAAGATGGGGGTAGTTAAAAAATGTGAGCATGATGCAATTGCTGCTTAATAAAAACAAATAGCAGGATTTAGGATAACTCTTGACTTTTATATTTCTATGGCAGAAGACCTTTACAGTTTACTTTTTTTTTTTTTTTTTAAATGTTGTCCAGAAAAGCTTTGTATTTAATTGAATTATTTCCCTTGTGTTAAATTAAGAGGCCCAGAGCTCCCTTGGAGGTGTCAGCCCCTGGTAACTTATTTCTTTGTTCTGAGTCCACATGTTAAAATGATCAAATTTAGGATAGGATGAAAAAGAGTCTTGGGATGAACTTATTTTTGTTCTGAATTGTTCGATAGTGTTGAAAGCTGGTCAGGGATTCTCAGATGACCTCTCAGAATCCACACGCCTACAGAGGCAGGGTTGGGCTGAGGAGAGAGAGAGAGTGTGTGTGTGTGTGTGTGTGTGTGTACGTGTACGTGTACACACTCTTCTAGAGAGCGTGCTCATAACTATGTCGCCATCTTACTTGAGTGTGGATTCTATAATGTTGCCACCCTCTCGTGTGGTGGGGGTTGTTGACATTGTGATTGTCTGTCTGTCCAATATGACGGTCACACCTGGGGATGCTGACACCTTGTAGCCAGTGTCCCATTGCTTGGGGTGGGGACATGGAAAGGAGAGGACGGGTTGCATGGAAGCACTGTCTCTCTGCTGTCACCACCCTCACCTCCACCCCAGTGAGAATTCATGTCACTTGGGCCTTAAGTCCCCTTGTCCTCTATCCCTGTGGTCCATTCCTAGGCTGGCAGTGGTTCTGGGCGCCGTGCTGAGCCCCGGGTGGACCCAGGCTGCGGTGTGGACCAGGTCTGCTTTAGCTGCCGGTTCTCTTGGTGTGCCACTGTCCAGGTGGCTGTTTCTGGTGCAGTGGGTCTTTGTCAGCCTTCCAGTCCCCCTCTGGTTTGTCCTTCTGATTCCTCATTGTGCCGGCTGTTCAGTCACCCAGCCTGGTAGAGTTCTGAGGGCCATGAGCCGGCGACAGAGGTCCTAGGTGTTGACTGCACCATGGGCGGCCTGACTTGGTAGCGGCTGCTCATGGGGCCAGCAGTCATTTCTCTTTCTGTCTGGATGTGAGATTGAGTTCTAGCATGTGACCCCGTGCACGCCAAGGCAGCTGCGAGGTGGCCTGTTCTGGAATTGTCACCCATCCAGTGTAGGCAGTTTCTTAGTAAGTGATCTCCTTTCTGTGACCTAAGTTTTATGCTTTGATTAAAAATGATTTAGAGGCATTTTCTGAAACTCCTGCAGTAAATTATGGGAAGAAGGCCTCGAGCTTGTTGGCCTCCGTTGCCTGCCTCCTGATGGTCAGTGGGGCAAACCTTTCATTTGATGTGGCGGTGCCTGTGTCTCTTTGTCCTTAGGTCGCCCCCAATGATGAAGCCGTGGTGACGCTGCTGTGTGAATGGGCCGTGAGCTGCAAACGGTCAGGCAAGCACAGGGCCATGGCTGTAGCCAAACTCCTGGAGAAGAGGCAAGCGGAGATCGAGGCCGAGGTAGGTCCTTCTCCTTCCTACCTGTTGATGCTGTGGCCTGCATATCACGTGGAGGGGGATGCTTTTTCTCTTTCATGTTCTCTCATTTTCTTTTCTTCTGAGGAAAAAAGGGAGGATGTTTAGATGCGCCTAAGGAGGAGTATGTAGCAGGCGCTCTGTAGGTTGGTGCGGCCAGGGATGGGTATTTGGGACTAATTCAAAAACTTCACCACAGGTTTAGAAGAATGGAGTCTCTCCCTCTAAGGCTGAGATATTTGCAGCGTGCACGCACACACACACACACAAGTGTGCTTGAGGCACACCGACTTCTAGGACATTTAAACCTACATTATATTTTAGTGGATTTGGAAATCCTTTCTTGAAGCAGTTATGATTATGAGGTCAGAGAGATCAATTTACATTGTTTTTTTTTTTTTTTTTTTTTGGTATCAGGGATTGAACTCACTGAGCCACATCCCCAGCCCTATTTTGTATTTTACTTAGAGGCAGGGTCTCACTGCTAAGCACCTTGCCATTACTGAGGCTGGTTTTGAACTCGGAATCCTCCTGACTCAGCCTCCAGAGCTGCTATTTAACACATGTTCTGCCATTAAAGCTGTGTTGTAGATGACAAAGGACAATCAAAGCCAACTCCACCAGCACGCGAGAGCCTCTGTTGAAGGAAAGCTTTCTTGTGACTCATCTTTCCTATATGTGCACCTGAGCCGGTGCCACAGGGAGCGTGTGTGTGATCTGGAGAGGCCCAGCGTCCCTCACCTGGATGGCTTGCTGGCCCCTCTTGCCTCACCCCTGCTTCCTCTCTTGTTCTCTGCTGCCCTCCACAGCAGCCAGGGCCATGAGCCCCATATCCAGATGCCTCTCATGCCCTGGCCCTGCCG